TAATACTGTTTTTTACTAATTAAAATAAAGTTCATGAAAAATACAATGTAATCAATCAATTTTTACGAATAAATATTTCACTATTAAAAAACTATATTGTATTTTGTATTTATTAATTTAATTTTATTACTTAAATATATAATAGATCTTTAAATGAGACAAAATTAAATTAAAAAAAAATTATTTATAAAAAAAATTATTAGAATAGATTAATATTTATTGTTAAACTCAACTGTTTAACTCGTTTTTTAGTGATTAAATTGTATAGAAAAACTTGAGTTTAAGTTAATAAATATGAATAAAAATGTAATAGAAATCGTACTTCTTAAATAAATTTGTTAAATCAATTTAGATTTAAAAAATTATGCTGGTTTTATATTTTGCTTTAACTTTTTTCATGTGAAATATCATCAAATTTTAATCCTATTTTTTTTTAATATGACCGAAAAAATATTAATAAAATTTTTTAATTACAAAAATAGTTTAATAATATAATATAATGATGATGATAGTGATATTCTATAACCTACTCATAATATTGTAGTGTAGCTTTTATGTTATTAATGCTTATGTTAATTTTCGTTGCAGAGTAAACATCTTCATGTTAAAAATATGTATTTAACATTTTATGTGTACAGCAACAGAAGCATCTGCAAATTTTGGCATTATAAAGAGAAATGTATCTAGATGTACATATAACATAAAAAAAGTCTGACGCAATATTTGTTTGAATTACAAGTTGTTGCAGATTTTATGAATGAAGTTTTACTACGCGAATTGTTTGGGAGAGAATTGTTAAAAGAAAAACAAAGAAAGCGCACAGAAATTTACAATTATTTTACTCTCTTAGTGGATAGACATTTTTTTATTAGAAAATTCTGATTCATGAGTTAAAATGTACGAATCATTAAAATAAAAAATTAAAAAAATATATTATGAGTAACATATGATAGCTATATATATTTTACTTATATACCGACAATGTCTTATTAGTTGTATTAACAACAAAAACATATCGTTCGTAAAATATATATAAATATACACATATAAGTATATAAATAAAAAGAACTGAAGGATTTTTAATACTTATATTTACTTAACATACTTAATAGTTGTTATTTGAATTGTATACAAATTTTAAACTATTTTAGAGTGAAATTATCTTCTAATTTGTTATAATTTATAGTACTGTTCAACCTATTTACCAGTAAAGCATATTTTTAGGCCAATATTTATCATATGCCATAATACATGTATGCTTTCATGCGTCTTTCAGGTACAGTAATTCCTCCATTAAATGAATAGTAAGATTATAAGTTGAAATATAATTCAATTAAAAAATTACAACGACACTTCTTCATATCTGCTGACAGTGATATATACTATTTTCTCTGCTATCTGCTACTAACTCAATAGTTAGAAGATCAAGAACAGAATAATTGTGTTCAGACAGAATAGTTTTAAATTTACAATAATAGGTACATATACGAATACGCTTGTGATCATCCATCAGTGGTCACTGGAAGATACAAGGACATTAGATCCATCATTCCATAAATAACACCAGCAGTTCATACATTTTCCGCATTTAATTACCGGTAAGTAAGACATAACGATGCCCACAAACAGAATAGAGTAAAGGCATATAGACATATCATCAACTATTAAAGTATATTTAGTGCATAAAATATTATTTAGAATTAGGCGTTGTTTTTTTTGTATAAATATGATTTATGGAACATTATAGTATAGCATCCGAAGGTAAACAATTAAATTTAGAGCAATTGCTTCTGTAAGTGAAATTAGGTCAGTTGTAAGTGTGATATGCACTACATATAAAAACGTGATTTCTGGTTTTCAAAATCATTTTTTTAGGCACTTCGGTAGAACTAGGATAAAATATAAGAATATAGGATTAGGATATAACTATGTTATTGACTATAAATTTATTAAATATTCTTTTACAACACTGTTAGTTCCTGATAGATTTTCTGATTTTAATTTAATTACGTACTGAGCCATGAACGTCAACTTTTAAGCTACTATGATGTGTTTTGTTTTTACTTGTCCAGTCTTCTGTTCTCCGTTTTAAGGACGGTTGACTTATTTGTATATTAAATTCGCAGATATATGTCTCGACTTAAATGTAGAATCAGAATTTAAATCATTTTTACTAGTTACAGAGAAATGATAAAGTTTGTTGACAAACACTTGCATCTTTCTCTCTATATGTCTGAAGTGCTTCTAAGTTTTGCAGCTGTAGTACAAGATAGATTTCACATTTGTGTTAAAGATTCTCAGTTTGGTGTGCCTACTGAGTTCACTAGATCGCCATATGTTGTTAAGCAGCTTTCGCTTTGTTGATTCGAACATCAACATCTTCATCAGCTCCGCTCTTATTTGTTACAATGCTTCCCAGGTAGGTGAAAGAGTTTACACATTTAATTTCTTTACCACTATTCCTCTGGCAAAAATCATCTGCTGTAATTCATCAAGTTTGTGGCTTAACAGCGGGATATCGTTGGCGAATTCTAGATTTTGAAGAAGTGCTCATTGGATACTCCTGGTATATTTTAATGTTCTGCTGAGGATATCATCTACTGCGAGCAAGAAAGGCAATGGTGACAAAATGCACCCTTGTTGCATATCTATTTTGATGTCGAGTCAGAGAGCTGGTTTTTGTGAATCACACGATAAATAGTTTTATTGTACAGTTCCTTTCTTCTCCTTTTGGAGAGTGGTGCTCAAATGTATAGTCGTCTTAAATTGTCAAAGGCTTTTTTAAAATCTAGGAAGGCTACATAGATGGTAGCTCTAAACTCTTTTGACAGCTCGAAGATAATGCGAATTGTATTTCTATTAGATTGTAATAATGATTATCGATTACAATTGCTTTCATTTTTGGTATTATTTTTTAAATAGTTTAAGAGCAATCGATCGATCTTCATTGAATGGCTTCCTTTTGCAATGTTTTTATATAAAATTAAATCATCGCAAGTTTATTATAATATTCTTATAGACTCAGTTTATAAACTACCATTCGTAATATAAAATTTATTTTTTTGTTTATTATGAATTTATATCTAAAGACGAGAAAAGCAATTAGAAGAAAATTAGAATTAGAAACAAAAATAAATACAGAAACAAAGCAATTAAAGAATTAAAAGCAATTAGAAACATAGCCGGCAGTACTCATCAAGATCTTATTTAATATAAACAAAATCATTGTATATATTTTATTTATAAATAAATGTATATATTTTAAATAAAGAGAAAATATTTTACATACATTTATATCAAAGTTATATTTAAATGTTCTGGAGAAACCGAATTTTATGAATAAATATTGTCCTTCTTTAATATTGGGAAGATTTTGTAGAAATTAAATGACGTAAATTCTTTGTAAACGATTTAAGAATCCATTTATAATTAGTAAACTATGTGTAATATAGTAATAAAACTATAATTTAAAAAAAATTCTTTCTAATATATTGGAGGTTTTATGTTGAAAACCATTCTAGTCAAATATGTCATTAAGCAGTTTTCAAAAACCAAAGGAATGCTTTCTTCTTATTTAAATCCAATTTCTATGAAATAAAATTCGAGAAAAGCTCGTTAAAAAGCAATAAAAACTATTTTGAAATAGAATCGTTATGTGCATATCTTATTATTATTATATCTGGACTATAACCTAAATGACAACAAATTCAAAAGGCACTTGTAAGTGTAAGAGAACCACCTTGAAATAAGAAATAAGAAATAAGCGAAAAAATAGGCGAAAAATAAGGAAAACACAAAGAAGTTGGAATCATAACAAAACATTTATCACCGACATTTAAAATTTATGGGGAAAGGAAAGCTCATATCACACAGAAGACAAAAGATTTAGATTTCAATTCAAAAAGATTTAGAGGCGATTTCGACGATATATTTTTTGTTTACGTAGCAATAAATAAACAAATTATTTTGAGACACTTTCAGTTTTTTTTGTATTTTTACGTTAATTTTTTCTAAAATATTTTATAAAAAGAATCTAAGAATCTAAGAATCTAAGTTGCTGGGTCACGGTAGACGGTAGACGTTAGCAGTGGCAGGCAACGTTGGAAGAAGCAAGCATTTAGCCACCTCGCTTGGTTCCATTAGAAGTGTCACATTATCGAAATTTTTGCTTTCTTAATTTATCCAAAGTAAAAATTATTACACAAACAAACGAGAAGAAAATTCTAAGGAGATCGATCACGTCACACACGAGAGCAACACGCATTTATTGTTTTTGAATAGTGAAATAAATATGTGAAAAACCGAAGCCGGGAAAACGTACAGAATGTGGGGTTGTGAGGTGCGCTACCAGCAACAAGTTTTCCTTTAAGTAAAAAAATATATTATAAGAAAATAAATTCTAAATTGGATAATCATTTATTTTTTCAACTGATGTTGTGTACATAATTTATGAACACAAATAATTTGAATGGACTTAATTACGGTTATTCCAGATAAGTCCACATTTGATGCGGATTTCATTCACAAATTGCGCCAAACATGCCACACAAATTCTACTCAAAACTATTCAATATATTAAAATTATTTATATTAAAAATGCTAAACGGAGGGCGTGGCCACATTTAGAACGCCTAATAATAAAGCGTTTTAAAAATAGATACCACTCGAAGAAGACACTTATACTCAAGTGCTTCTCCACTCAAAAAGAACCACTGAAACAGTTGGATCGTCTAATGGAAGACATATGACAGTTTTTATAAATTTTGTCAACCGAAAGTGTCGCGAGCTGCCGTCGTTGTAACATGTGGTACGGAATATTGAAGATATGTTGAGATATCTTAAAGATATGTGAAATAATGCGACTGCGAAATTGCAATCGAATGCATCTTAAAATCAATGTTTCAAGTGTTTGTGATTAAAATTTTAAGCAAAACCATATATGTTTCATTTATACATGAATAATTTTCTATATAAATAAAGTGTTTATCAAGAATAAAATTTATATTATAATATATATGATGCAATAATTTTAATTGAAGTGCCTTAAAGTATTATCAACATGACAAAATACAGTTCAAATTCCAATGCAGATACTTCCTTAGCAGTGGCCACCATAAAACAGGAGTACAATTATGCACAACAGCAAAACAATAGCATTTATGCACAACTACATCAGTCAGTATTGACAACAACAACAGGCTCTTCGAGCCAACGTCAACAACACATCCAACAGCATCAACAAACCATGACCCAGCAACAACAAATTCAACAGCATCTTCATCATCAACAACAACAACAACAGCAACAACATTTGCAGAACTTTTTTGGTCGTTATAGTAATGCCGTCGGTGATAATCTGCATGCCTGTCACTTCAATAATTCCAATTCTACATCGTCTTCATCTACTATTAATTTTGAAAGTGATAAAGTCAGCATGACACCCTCACCCATTTTCACAGATTACGATGAGAATAGTTTAAGTTCAGAAGAACATGTTTTAGCACCTTTGGTCTGCTCTTCGGCGCAATCTTCGAGACCTTGTCTTACATGGGCTTGTAAGGCATGCAAAAAGAAAAGTGTTGCTGTAGATCGACGAAAAGCTGCAACTATGCGAGAGAGAAGGCGCTTAAGAAAAGTAAGGATATATAATTAAATATAGATGATTTAAAACTAAGGTCATAAGCAAAAATGATTTATTTAAATATATATTTTAATAAGTAAATAAATAGTAAATACTATGGAGTTTTACTACATTTCATCAAACAAAAATGTATTATGCTGTACTGCGTTTGATAATAAAATAGATAGAGTCAGAAAATAAAGGTGTTTAAGCTTGGATTATATATTATTGTTACCAAACCCTTTCTCATCCAAATAATATGTTTTCTTTAGACCACTAAAAAGCAGTGTTGCATTTATTTATAATGTATTCTAAATAATTTACTTTTTAGAATAATGATGTCAAGTTTCTGTTTTTTTCTATATATGTAAGATAATTTCTAAATCTACGATCCTTAAATTTTGAACTATTATTGCAAAGTATTTGAGTTATTCAAAATTAAATAAAAATTCGCAAATCTATCCGAGAAGTGATTTTAATTAAGGGAATTAGTCTAGTTTGTTCAGGCATATAGGCGAGTATTGTTTATTTATATACAATACTGATGTTAAATATTTTTTAAATTCATAGTAATCAATATATAATATTATATTTTTGAACTTAAACATCAAGAACTTTAATAGGGCATATAAGCTACACTTCAATCGTCTTTTAATTGTTTTTAATCGATCTGTTTATCATTATATACCATTAAAAACAATTTACAAATATAATATCATACAAAGATATGTAAGACTTAGTAAAAAACACGGTTATATCAAGAAGAAGCATTATTCAAAAATTTTTCATAGATGAACTTAAAGTATCTAAACTAGTTTTATATACACCAAGTACAACTTCTTAACTTACGGGTTAGTAACAAAAATTTACATTTCGTATTGCTAATAGTCGAAATATTACTTCTTGACACGAATTACAAGTAGAGAATGGAGATCTGATTATTTACTTTATATTATATATTCTGATGCATATAAATGGATCATCCTCCTCAATTGTGCAATTGAATTTAACTCAAATGTTTAGACATAAAAAATAATTCATCCTGCTTAAAGTTTAAAATATGGATCCTGGGAATATATAATTATATAATATTTTTTAATAAATATAGAAAAGTAATAGTAAACAGATCAACTGTTTGAAAAATCAAATGTTGATTTATAATTGTTATATAGCTCAGTAGTTTAATATATGGACACATTGTGCTCCTTAAGGTATAGAAAGGTATAAGCAGTGCAAATAATAATAATGATAGGAAGTGGAAAATAAAACGTATAAATGATGCGCACCTCTATTAAGGGGATGTAGGCCACATTGATCAGAAAGTGTCAAATCAAAGGTTTTATAATATCGTTAAAAAATAGAGTAATACCAATACGAAAGTTTTGTAGATCAAATTAAAAAGAGAATGTGAAACAAAGATTTAGTCGATATCGGAAACAACTCATCACCTAATAGCAGAACGTACTCTCTTAAGTACAACGAATATATCAGGCGACTAAACAATGTGAGAAAAATAATACATCTAGTACTGACAAAATCGCATGACTTAAGAAAAAAGTAGGTCATTATTATAAATACTATCCGCTCTTTGTATTTAAAAAGTAAAAAATGCCAAAGAAGAATGCTATAAAATGCTATAAGAAAAGGTGAGGCTGTAGTTATATAATACTGCTAATAAACCAGATATTGAGGTTTTTAATTAAGAATATAATAAAATTATTTAATGTGAACATTCCTCCCACACACTTAATCAAAGTTATCAAGTATACACGATTGGCGAGAGAACTTCAACAGAGTTATCAGTACACAAATGGTAGTAACTCAACAGGATTGGTCCTATATAAATAATTAACCCATGCAAATAAAACTTAATACTTATGTTACATTAGAAGTAATCCCAAAACTTATGATATTGTACACATAAACTCTAATGAGAAGATAACATAATTTCTTGAACCTTAATTGAAATCAAACTTGCATGATTATCATTTTAATTTCTCTCCAAAAGACTACAATACATTGGTAACGTCAAGTCCCTGGATATGTAATTTTCAACTATGCAGCTTGGGTGAACTTAGTCTCATTAAAAAAGATATATAATAAACTAAACAAGTAAAAATCAAATTTTAAACAAAACCTTTAAAAACTTTTTTTGTGAAAATATTTGTATAAACATCTTTAATAATTAAAAAAATAAATAAATACATAAAATTATCATTGTCCCTGGTATATCCTTTGAAAGGATATCCTTAGAAAAGATATTAATGGATCTAATATAGTATTTATGGTATATGTTTAGTTTCTGTGATTACCGCATTACAAGAATTTATTCTAAAACCTCCCATAGGGAAGTCTTAAGAAGAATTTGAGTCCTTAAATAAGACTTCTAAGCAGAGGTCTAACCAAAAGTTTCTGTTATGTTCGTATTACTTATATATTCTATATATATGTTATTAATACAAATAATGTGTAAAAAGATAATGCGTATTAAACATTAGCAAATTTATTTTTAAACAGCAATTTTTATCGGTAACCTAATGTACTTGTGCTAATGCACAATTAATCTTATCATAAAAACAATTTAATCCATTAGTAATAAAGTAATTAATGCCTAAATACTCTTCTATGAAGTTTATGATAATATCTGATGCAAGGTAGCAACATTGTCGCAAGTTGGCTTATAAATGTCATCATAAATTATTTTACACTTCATCTGTTTCAGCAATTAAAATTTTCATAACTGAACTGAAATATCTTCATTTCATAGACGTCATACTAAAAATTTTGTCCATTAAAATGTGTTGACTTTTTATTGCAATTTGACATAAAACTGCAAGTTTATGTGGTTTTATATATAGATGAACTATCAGACAAGTTCTTAGAATGAGTTCTAGTGTTGTTACCATATTATAATTATAAATAAATTTATAGAACAATAAAGTTTTATACATCCCTTTCAACAGTTTATAAAGATTTTTAATTTATATATGATATACTTAAAAATTTATATACCTATACAGTTTTGTGGACCGAAGAAGTTTCAGGTTAATTATATACTGTAAAACTATCTATTTGTAATAATTTTGATTAGCTTTTTATAGAAATTAAAGTCTCTAATTTTATTTTTATTTAGTTTTGTAATAGATCCTTTTCATAAAAGAAATTGTATTAGCAATGTCTTGATTTTAAGGTTGGAAAGTAATTGCTATAATCTACGATTTGTTTTAAAAACAGAAGTAGGAGTGCCAGAGATCTGTGTTTAATTAGCCGTTAGGAAGTTATACCGATTAAAAGAGTTATAAAGCTCCTTCTCCTTAGCTGCTACAAATGTAGTTGAGTTCTACTATCTACTACTAACACAAGAATTTATCAAAAAATGACTGCCAGACAATAGCAGCTTAAAAGATATCTCTTACTACTCAAATGCAAACAATCCATGAAGTTATAGGGATACGAAATGAAGCTTTACATGTTCTAAATATTTTGACATAGTAGTTTGGAGAATTACAATATATTCAAAGTTATTCAATATTCATCTAAGATATCGGCTATAACAACAAAGATATTAAAACTTCCTTCAGACATACACTGTTCTAAAAGGCCATTAAACATACGAAATAAAGGGCAGATAATGACGGTAATATGTTGGATGGTAACAAAGTCTTTAAATAAGTAGTTAAACTAGACACTCATCAAAAATTAGAAAACGGCATACACATTGGGATATCTAGGTCTGGTATGGTTTTAAATAATCTTATATAGTCTTCTAAAGATAACGACGTGTACCTGCTATTTGACCAGTATATATATATTATCAGTTTGGGTTTATATTTCCTACAAAAAAACTGTAATGATAAATGAATAATGATTAGTACACTAAGAAGACTACCTTGTGCAATCAAGTGCACAATCCCCATTAATGGGACTGATTAAGGAAGAGAATATGATAAATCTAATTTACTTAAATCTAATGCCGTGTCGAGTCACGAAAGACGAATTTTGTTGAAATAAATTTCGGGCAGAAATTAACTCTGTTACAAAATCAACAATTGATGCACTTATAACTGACAATAAACTCATTCAAGCAAGATCCAATATTTGTACTTGCTTAACTCTAACTAGTTAGTTAAGGACTCAGGGGTCAATCGATATCAGGCAGTTTAAACTATCTTTCTTAAAAAAGAACTACCAACAAGTGGTTTAGTAGATTTAATTTATTTAAATCAAATAATTCATTTTAAAGTTACCACTTTCTATGTGAACCAAAAAAATAAATAATATCTGTTTTATGTGAACAGATATTATCAGCTGTTAGACCACTGATTTGAAGTACAAATTCAATGAGTTCAAATTGTGTAGAGCCAGAAACAACCAGCATAGATATTTGAATATAATTTAGTTTCTGTGAGTAGAATCAATAACATAACTTGGTTTACTTCTTGATAATAGACTGAACTGCTGATATTATTCCAAAGAATTTGAACAGATTAAACACAAATGTCGTTAAATCTATTGAATGATTGGGCATCATTTTCAATTTAACCTATATTGCATGAGGTTATTATTGTTATCTATACACCGCAGCTTAGGTGGTTTATTGTGCTAACCCCAGTCGTTTTAACTGATTATTAGGGTTTTGATAATCGTAATTACATTTGTCTGTTCTGTATTGTTCCATATGTTATGAGGATCAACAAAGCTGCCATTTAGATAGGAAACTCAGCTGCTGATCAGTTTAAGGTATTCACAGAGTCGTTCAGATGTTTTAACGTGCATTTCACAAAAGCGGCAGATATTTTTCCCTCAGGGCTAAATTTATTGAGATAGTACCTCAGCCTGTAGTGACTTGTCAAAAAACCGGTAAGATTTTGATATCCTCTTTGTTTAGTGTAGGGATTAATTTATTAGTCTGTCATCAAATCAATCTGGATGTGTGATATATTGCTTTGAGACTGTATGAAGAATATTTTTTTTATATAAATTCATATTTTCAACAATAATGTGAAACATTGTCTTATACATTTTTGAGCATTTTAATTTGATTTATAATATATATAAAACTTTTAACACTCTGATCTCGTATGATAAACGGTAAATAGATTGTATCTCCACATCTTATTTTTAATTAAATTATTTTAATAAAAATAAACATTAAATGTCGTAGTCTCATCTTTAAATACAAAGTTTATTTGAAATTGAATAAAGTGTGCACTTACGGCACAGTTACATTTTATATAGCGCAGCAACTATAAGGGAAATCCGTTCAGGCTCACAGACAGCCTGAACGGACTGCAAATAAAACTCGAACAAATTACAGAATTGGTTTAAAAAGTTATAAAAACGAAAATTTATTTCATAAGCAGGGAAAGTGATTTTCTTAATGATGCTATTGCTGCACACGTACATTTCGGTATGCTCAGGAAATGTAGAATGGGTGAAATAAATGGGGAACACATTGGACCACAGTGGAAGAGTAAATGTGCTCTTCGCATCATCCTCTGATTTCGTTTGTGTGCGCGATTATTATGAATGTTGATTTTATTGTTTAATTTTAACACGCTTGTTTTCTACATGATAAATTATTATTAATTTAAATTAGCATGAACTGCACGAATTTATGAGTACTACAATTTTAATAATTTGCTTAATTTTTATTATATTTAAGGTTAATGAGGCTTTTGAAGTATTAAAGAGACGTACGTCTTCAAATCCCAATCAACGTTTACCTAAAGTTGAGATCTTGCGTAACGCCATTGAGTACATTGAAAGCTTAGAAGATTTGTTGCAAGTGAGTTTCTGGAAGAGAGCTTAATAATGTCAATTTATTTTAAATGTTCATATTTTTATAGGAGTCTTCACCTACACGCTCTATTGACAATATTCCGGATGGTATTAGTGGGAAGTCATGTCAGCAAGAATATTTGGTAAGTTATTATAGACTTTATTTTTTATGACAATAGACAAGCGCAACTCTCTCAGAGGTGTAGAATTTTAAATTCCAATAAAACGCAAACAAATAAATGAAATATGTCAATTTTTTTGACTTATTATTAATAAAAAATGATTTCGAGTATACCTATAGCCATCATGGTGGTGGCTGCGGAATTATATACTGTACTTTTATTTTTTGAACATTTTTTTAATGATTTGCGGTCGTACTGTGGAATGAAGTCTATGCTATGTCTATGAAGCCCGCATACATGAATGATATATATCTCAACAGAAAACAATCCAACAGTGTTAGATTATCTGCCACCAGATAACGGCTCCTTCAGTTTGTCGATTATTGCTCTTTCTACTAAAGTTAAGGCCCTCAAGGTTTGTTCATTTCGGAAAACAAGAAACTGTTTATGGTTTGATATTAGGCTCCATCAACGATGAAATTTTTATCATTTTTAAAGACCAATGATGTCCCCAATCTTTAAACCTTTCTAATAGTGCATTTTTTCATGCATTCTAATACTGTTAAGATAATAAAAGTTGTTGAATATAAATTAGGTGTCTGGGTTATCATGCCTGGGAATAGCTTGGTCATAATTGTCCACATAAATACGATACTCTATGTAACATTACAAAAAAGTTCAGTGATTGTAAATTATGTTACATAAAGTTAAGTTATATGAAATTACACGCTTAGAAAATGTTTAGGATGTGTTATGTGGTTAATAGCGACCTCCTAGTAAAACCACATATTCTTTATATATCCGCATCTTCAGTAACACTCCCAAAAATGATGACAATAATTGATAACAGTCTTGACAGTTTCGTCGTTTTCGAAAAATTTGGGCTTATCACATCAAATACCAGACCACACGCCGAATTTTCGATGCAAGAAATCGTCCTCTATATACTGTTGCTTGAGTATTGAATCCATTATGTTTTACGCATATTATAACATGACATATGACAGATCTGTTTATCATATATCATTGATATATATATATATATATATATATATATATATATATATATATATATAGATGACTTTGTATATAAGACAAAGTCTATATATTCTTTGATATATAGAGATATCCTTTTTGTATGTATATCCTTTTTTTTGTATATCATTTGAGATTTCTATTTAAATTTACAAGAAGTGAACTTTAAAATGAATAAAAATATTTAGTTCAATATTATTATTTAATAATTAGTGTTTACTCTTAAATGTTATAAATATTTTTAATTTTTAATAAATAATTTCAAATTAATGTTTAATAATAAATTAGAAATTATTTTTTAAAAATTTTCATTAAACAGATATTTTTTAAAATTTCTATACCTAGACAAAGTTAATGTATTGCACCAACTCCCTAAGAGTTTGTTTTTCATATGTGAACCCAGAGAATTTAATAAGAACAACCACTATTTTCTTCTTTCATCTTGAATTCTTCCATTTAAAATGAAATATATATATTTTTATATTTTTTAACCAAATTAAATACTTCAGCATTAATTAATTAAATTTTGTTTATATGTTTTGTCTTTTTGGAAAATCTTAAGACAATTTTTTTACTTGAGAAACGTTCGTCCAAAATGCGCTTCGAGACATTTTTCTTACCGAGTGGCACATTCATCAAATCTCGAAAGTCCACCAAAAAAACATAAATAACTAATTTTGTTCATTCTTTGCACTTTTATTCTTCTTTACAATACTGAAGACATAGAAAAGTGCTCTAAAATTTATAGATACACTGACGTATGCTTAATAATTGGCTTGTCGTTCCTATAGAAATCGAAATTTGTTTTCGTTATGAATTATTTTTAATAAATACATATTAAAAAAATTTAATAAAAATAAACAAGTTTGGAAATTTTAAATATTCCTCTTCGTAATATATCAGCAGCTCGTTAAGGGTTTAGTAGAACTAATAGGCCAATATGTTTTATTATTGAATTTATGTTTTAAGTTTGTTGTCAACTGTCATAAGCAATAATGTTTCCAATTCATTGTGATTAATTGCGGATTTAGTATAAACAAGACTTTTCGAATATTTTCAAATATCTTGAATGTTGCAACAAATACTCAAAACAAAAAAAAAATTTGGAAATCAGAATAACAACGGAATACATAGAAAACTATAATTAAATTAAAAGTTTTTTAGTATTTATTATAAGTATTTTTATGATACTTTTTAATATCATGTGATAGACACACATTGTAATATTGCAATATTTATTCTTTGTTTCATATTAGATCTATTAAAGTTATATCAGGCAAACATTTCTTTAGTTATATATGTAGGTATATATAAAATTATTCTCAATCTGAAACCATTATCTATCGCCTGTTACTAATATATTCAATTATTAAAATATATCATTTATTATTATAAGTAACTATTTTAAAGCTTCACCAAAATAATCTTGTAGGTTTGTTTTTAATTTTGGGTTCAGTTCCGAATGTTTATCTTTTATCAAGTCTGCATGACAATTAATTTTTTGTTATAATCATTCTCTCCAGATCTATGTTGTTCAGACCGGTCATTCTTCTCATCATTATTTTTAAATTTGTTCTGTTTATATTAAGGGGATATTTGCTAAATATTTGTTACTTCTGAGTAGTAAAAGTAGAGTGGTAAGAAGAGTTTTATACAGCGAGAACTTTCTTAGTTAAGTCACTTGTTAGTAGCTACATTGGTGAAGTCTTAATTGTGTAGACTGAAGTTATTTTTGTTGTCTCTAAAAAGCGACTACAGCCCATATAGTTGTCTTGAAACAGATTTTTTTCTTCCTCCACTTTATTACTACCAAAACTGCTCTATACAGGTATTTAGTATAATATAACTTGATTCCTAGCTGTAAGACATTTGTTGTTTCCCAAATCAGTTCAGAGTTTGTCGAGCTTAAAGCTTTAATACCTGATTGAAGATCATCCTTTTTTGGTTTTGGTTTTGTGATAGAAAATGTCTATCAGATGAGATATCATGATGTGGATTTCAGATTGCACGCAGACTGATGGATAGTTTTGAGGCCATATACCAGACAATAGTTGTTGATAGTACTACTAATTTTTTATCTACCCGCCGTTTTGGTCTGGTATAATGGTATTGTATTTTCTGTTTGTCATATGTTCTGGGATCATATAATCTAGAGACATCTCAAAATCTGTGGATTGTATTCTTTACTGTACAATCGTGTTTTGTCTAGTAGGCCGCTGTAACAAAGTCTATACATGTTAATGGATGAACCATTTCGATTTTGACTTAGTGGCAATATATATAATACAGTATTTGGTATCGCAATGGAAGTTGTTTTTACATACCAAATTAGTACGTATTTGCAGTCAAAATATTGGTTTTTGGTTAAGTTTAAGTTCAAAGCATTGTAAAAAAATATTCACTCATAATGAGATCTGGTGAATAAGGACGATGGTCAATTTCAATCATAGTGACTGCAGAATTAGAAACGTTTTTCTGTTATTGCAACAAAGAATTGGTACCTAAATGTTGTTGACCATGATGCACTTATTTTGTTAGTTATTTAGCAATGTGACCTTTCCATCTCCAAAAATATAATCTATAACCTTTCAAAGAATAAAAAATCGTAAACAATCTTTTTGTCATAAACAACTAGCATAAAAACAAAAATCTAATAGCTATGATTTATAGATTGATATAAAATAGGTGTCATTCAAGATATAAAATGAAAAAAGATAAATCTAATTTTAATAAAATATAAACATAAAAAATGTTTATGTAGACAAAACCAAAAAAACTGATTTTTTAAAAGGTATAATTTATTACTTCAACTAATATTTATCCTATTGTAGAATGTCTCTGATATAGTTTTCGAACAATTGATGATGGTTCCATAGTACTGTATGGTTAAAAATTTTGTTTACATAAAGTAATAATGCATAATATATAGAAGTACAAAATTACACTTAGTATCTTATAAGTTTTAATTAGAGTAGTTATTTTTATTTATTTTTTAGTTCATTATATTTTCAATCGCAACTAGATAATCTCACAGACTCAACATTGATGAAATCAAAACTACTTAGCGTGTAAATTTTTATTTGGTTAAAAATGTCTAAGGTGTGTGGTCGCTGAGGAATATCATAGCTATTTCTTTGTCACAAGTACTATCGTTCACAAAATGAATGCAAAATATAGACGCAATACTCATAATTCCATGGGGGGAACACACATGCACTCAATGACGACAATCTTCAATATGAGACGAAAATAATCTATAGAAAGAGTATTTTGTGCCCTCATCTTGACGTTATGTAAACGGACGATAAAATATGAAAATGTTGTAAATTAAATTTAACAAATTTAAATGATTCAAAAAGTTTTCTTTAACATTTTTGGGTGAAACGGTAAATTTTACAAAAAAATTTGGATTTAGTTAAATAGAAGGGATATAAAATTTTTCATTGACTGCAATCTTAACTATGCGAAATATGTGTTAAGAGCTATGGATTTATATGTGGTATGCTTTGTTTAGGACTTGCTTAGTTACTATTACCAAAAACAAATAAATCTATAAATTAATGTAACTATGAACCGTACATTACTTCCTAAAAATGTTGCAGGAACACGAAAGTACATGTAAATGTTTTTTATACTTGTGAAAATTATAGTTGGAAATAATATTATCTATTTAAAACTTATGAAAAATAATCAATTGAGGAGGATTTAATCCTGCTTCTGTTTCATTAAGCTACCTAACTATGATTTGAAACAAGTTTTTTCATTTAGCTTCAGTTTTGCCCTCAATGCAATGGAAGTTAAATCTATAATATATAAATTCTATAAGATCACTTTCTTTCATGTAAATTTTTACATAATTTTGTTTTAAATTTTTTGAGTTGTTATGTCTTAAATATTTTAAAGTCGGTTTTGATTTTTTAGGATTTTAACTTCGATCGCATTTTTTGTATATACCTATACGTATTAGGAATTCTCCTGAAGAAGGC